CCCCCCCCCCCCCCCCCCCCCCCCCTTTATTCCTTTTCTGCAGCTGTCTGTCTTTTACTGTCAACTCATACTTTTCCTCAAAAATGAGCTATAACTATGTTGGCCCGGAGGCAGAGGAGCAAGAGAGAATAAGGAAGTGGAAGGTGGCAAAGAGAGAAACTGGACGAGATATGGAAAGAAGATAGAAATAAAGGCAGACATAGATCGAAAATATCTGAAGGCAAAGAACAGACAAGATGGAGAGTTCACAGAGAGATGAGACGGCAAGATGTAAGAAGAGTAGATGAAAAAGTGACTAAAGCTCAGACAGGGAGGAGATGAAAAGGTAGAGAGAAACATTACCATGAGTGGAGTGGGAAAAAGGGAGTCAAGGGCTGGGGACAGAGAGATGGACAGCTCAGAGTGATGGCTTACATTAGCTATTCTTTATTTAATGAGTCCCATATTGATCGAGCCATCACACACGCACACACACACACACACACACACGGGTGCACACAACTGTTCTGCAGAGAAACGCTTTGTTAGATTTAATGGCTCTGCCTAAAAGCAACTCCCTTAAATTAAATCTGAAGAAAGAAATAAGGCATCAAAGGTTCAATAACAAAAACACTGCACTGTGAAACCTGAAACTCCTCAGCCCATATCTCAAAGGCACAAAAGATTCAAGAGTTGTGTCAGTGAAAGGACTCGATTCAAACCAGTGAGGGTCTCAGCAACGTATCCTCATACAACCGATGGGATGATGTCTTACGAAAAAGATACTCCTTATTTTTCATGTGTTTTCCTATGAAAGCCAGCAACAAGCATTGAGCGTTGTCATTTGGGTTAAAATAACTAAGTGCCGTTACATGACAAATAAAAAGACTTCTTGTTTCACACGAGGAACAAACAGCAGATCTCCTGGAGGAAAGATCATTGTTAGCTGGACCCGTCCTGTGAGTGCTTTTACGGTCTTTAGACCCTCGTTCATGATTACGTGGATGACATACAAAAGGATTTTGTGAGATACCTACGAATTACGGCGCATTATTTTTCGCAGGTGTAGCTACGGATGCTGGATGAGACCAGCCTGGTCTCAGTGACTACGTTTACATGCACCCTAATATTATGCACCCACTATTATTTAGGATATGACAATATTCTAAATTTGATATGTGTCATGTCAATAGCATATCCCGTTTCGATATTCTGAATTAGGTCTTATTCCGAATGAAGCATTTTCCGACTAAGACATGTGGGATTTGCTGATAATATTCGGGTATCAGGAGCATTCTTTTGACAGCGCAGTCGTAATAGAATAATAAAATCTCAACAGTCAGCTCGCGCGTTGTGAACAAATCAACTACCAACAGTTTGCAGAGCAGCATGCCTGAAAGAAAAGCCCACATTTACTGCTGCTACTACTTTTAAACTTGATGAAAGACTTGGATACCAACGTGTTTTATGGATATGTGCAAACCCTTTTTATGTGTTTATAATGCATATGAGTGACCTGACATCTGGCTGAACTAACCCATGTCCACAGAGACTGAGGTGGTTGAGTTGTGAACCTCACCTTGGCGAAGCGCCGGTTGTAGTGGGCCACCACAGCGGGGTCGGGGCAGTCCAGCTTCTTGATGATCTCGAAGCTCTGGTTGAGCTGAGTGAAGATGTCCACCACCGAGCTGGAGAACAGAGCATGCTCGGACGTCTGCTGGAACTACAGGTGGAGGCAGGAGAAGACATATTTTAGTCCGCCAGTACTCCTCTTGTATTTAATCAAACACACACAACTCTTCTGCAGAGAAACACTTTGCTAGATTTAATGGCTCTGCCTAAAAGCAACTCCCTTAAATTAAATCTGAAGAAAGAAATATGGCATCAAAGGTTCAATAACAAAAACACTGCACTGTGAAACCTGAAACTCTTCAGCCCATATCTCAAAGGCACAAAAGATTCAAGAGTTGTGTCAGTGAAAGCTCTTGATAGCACTCGATTTAAACCAGTGAGGGTCTCAGATGTAACTCATCTGGGCCTCAGCAACGTAGTTCATACAGCAGATTGAAATGTGTTACAAAAAAGTTACGTCTCATTTTTCATGCGTTTTCCTACGAAAGCCAGCGACACGTGTTCATTTCCGTTTGTTACACGCATACGGTCTTTTCAAAAATAGAAAACATAAAACAGCTTAAGTAAGGTTCAGGCAACAAAACTGCTTCATTTGGTTTAACAGCAGCTCTCCGTCTCCACTCTGCTCTTTTCAAGAAGCACTGCTCCTCACAACTACCTCCTGACTGACTCATACGTCCTCTCTGTCCTTACTCCCCTTAATCAAATAATAACTCAAACCCTTCCTATTTCTTCTCCTAGCTACCGTAGCTGCGCTCTGGTGTAATTACTGTAATATCAGGGCACTCTGACCAGTACGATTATTATTATTCATTTGAAATGATTGCTGGTCTGGGAATAAAGGGCTTATTTTAGTGTTGCACTAATCATGTGGTCCTTCGGATGAATTCACCAGTTAAATGTTCCTTCTGAGCTTAAGGCTCTAACCTCAATGTAAACGCTGCCCAGAGGCTTTGAGTGCTATATTTCCCAAATGACCGAGTCACGCAGTTGTATCCTGGAGTCTCTCTTCCTCTTAGAAACCTACAGTACATGGATCCATAACTGGTTCTGTAAGAGCCAAAAGGGGGTCCATAAGCACTTCACAGTTCCTCCATAAAACCTGTCTCCAATGGACTCCTCGTAGTCTCCCATACTTTAAAAGAGTTGTGCATCAGGCTACTTCAGAGAGTAAAGGGGGAGAGAATATGTGCACTGAGTAAAATACTATATATGTGCTTAAGAGTATTATCTGAAACATCCTTCATGTAAACGTCTTGCCTGCGTTTTTATACCCTGAACAGCCAGATGTTTTGTTACACCAAAACCATCTGAGGAGTCGTCCTTTAAAACAGTTTGTAAGAGCAGGCACTTTAAAAACAATACTTAGCAGCTGTTTGGATGAACCATCTGTCAATTAAAGCGATTCGGAAGAAGAGTGAAAACATCTTTGTCATTGAGGAAAGCCTTCAGTGTCGTTCTGTGGTCTATTGATGCTATTAAAGCATCTAAGCCAGTGCATGTAGTGTACTTTCCTTATTCACATGTCATTATTAGCCTTGATTCTGAATTTGTACAGTGAATAAAAGACACTCGGAGGTATTGGGTGCTGGGGTAAGAAATGAAGCAAAGTCTGTGAGCTAGCTTAGAGTCTGCTGCTACATTCACATTCCTCTCACTGCCACATTTATCAAACACACCCTTCAGTGTTTGGCTGACAGTGCTTTGCTAACTCTTTTGGTGCCGATGCTGCCGATCTTGTTCTTATATAGTTTTAAAAGCCCCACCTCCACCCCCGAATCCACCTGCAGGCTCTGCGTCTATCGTCCTCTCCCGCTCCAGAGGGAGAGGACGTATTCTACTGAAACTAGAATTACCGCCTCGTGGTTGTTTCCCTCCGCCAACCAGTCAAGTTACAGATTATGTCCATGTCTGTCCAAAAATGTCATCACTTGAATGACCCACACTGAACGAGGGCCAACGCAGAGAGCTAAATAACGTCATCATGCGCGCACACATTACTGGTAGATTACATTACAAAGGGATTGACGCATTACTACTGTTTACCTCATGACCGACGTGAGTAAACGATTGCTGCTGTTATAACTTTAGCAGTAAAATCCTTTCTCATAATATCAGAAATGGCTGTGCAGTGATTTGGCATCTGATAAACCTTCACAAAGCCATGTGAGCGAGACTGAAGGGAGTGTAACCATCTGTACGGGCCAAGAAGAAGATAAACCACACAGGCATCCATCCTCCTACACTCCTCCATCTTGAGATAAAGAAAACCGTGTGTCATGAAGTTTGTCCATCAGTACAGCAATGCTTATCTGAAAGCTTGTGAAAAACCCAATAAAAACATTTTAAGGGCATCAAAATTACACTTTTAACGGTCAAAGTGTTGCGCACAAGACTCAAGAAACTTCCAGAGCGACAACAGAGTTCCTTGAAGATAAAGTGCCGCTGCGGGACCAACAGGAGGTCGAGAGACAACACTCGTCCATCATTGTGTTAGTGTGAGAGAGGGCTGCCAAAGGTCACAGAGCCGAGGCCGTCTCTCAGCTCGTTGTGGATTCCAGTGTTGTACAAAGCTTTCCTTTTCACTGCAGAGTTGCTCTACTGCTGTCGGACTTCCTTTCAATCAAAAACTTTGAAAAATAGAATTTCACAATGACAAATAGTCAGGAAGCAGCTGGTATAATGTGGGAAACACGGTTCTGCTGTACAAGAAAGTAGGTTTTATGTTAGGATAACATTTTAACATTAATCAGAAGCAGTTATGTTTCTTCAATGTCACTGCTGATTAGGATTATTTTTAAACATATGTTTACATTTGTTAAATCTCCTCGTTGTGAGCACTGAGTCGCAGCACTAGAGTGCAAATAGAAAGGAAGCAAATATGAATTTATTACATTTAGTCATAATCACGACTATAATGTCGCATCTCCGCTCACTGAGTAGCCTGCAAATTGTTTCTTTTATTGCAATTAAATTCTGGTGTCTGGTGAGGTAATTCATCTGTCCACAGGAAACAGGAAATTGAAACTTCGGAGTGGGAATCGACATTTTCTTCCAACGGGGAGACTTTTGATGCTTCAGAGGAAATAAATCATTGGTCAAATAGGTAAAGAACAGCGTGCTTTATACTGTTACTGACGTCCTGTTGAAGTGCACAAGACTCAAAGTGCCATTTCAAACCACCTCATTGAGAATACAACATCTGTGTGCTTCCTTTAACACACAAGGACACATGCTGTACACACGGCTTCACTGTGAGGGGGTAATTATATATCGTCCTATATCAGTCAAATCTGAGCACAAAGACTTGGTGTACATGTTTTTATATTCAGTAGGACTTACACTTTCAGAGGATAATATCTGACACCATCGCTGATGTCCACGACAAATGAACGTCCATAAATCTGCTAGGAAATCATAGAAAAATACATGCTCCATATAACATCAGAACTTGCCTGAGAATCATCAAGTTTTTAAGTTTCCTTTAGTATCAAAGTAATCTGGAGATAGTTGTCTGCACATCAATGGGTGCACTGATAATGCACTTTGAGTAGTGGAAATTTGCTCCTTTTGTCTCCTTTTTTAAAAATATTCCTAACTAATAGCATTTATCAGTCTAAATTCTTAACATTTTATCTTCCTTCTTGACAACCATTAAAATCTCTGCCGTACAGCAACATTTTATCTGTAGGTTGAAAACTTGGGGCATTGATGAAATTGGCTTTTTACATTTGTTGTTTGAGATGTTCTTTTGACTCCCTAACCACATCTGATTGATCTGTGTTGTTTGCTGGCACGCAAGTAAACACAAGAAACTGACAGCTGTGATTTGATCCGGATCAGAGCTGCAGGAGGAAAACAGTTCATCTCACTGACACCAACTAAGTTGTTAGACAACAGTCTAGGCTGCAAATTGCTTCTTAAAAAAACAAAAACTAATTTTGAATTCATGTTTTTAGATTAAAAAAGATAAAAACATATCTGAGCCCTAAATAATGAAGGATGGATGCCGAGCTGAAGACTTTCTGCTCACAGAAGAATCTTTCTTCACATTGGGCATTCTTTGACTCACCCCTTCTCTCTTGTCTCTCTCCAGCGCTCCGTGCATGAACTCCATCGACACCTCCTCGTTCTCAGCCAGCCAGGCCAGAACAAACAGGAGGAACCACCTGGAACAACAACAGAACTCCTCTTTGACCAACCATGAAGTTGGTGCACGAAACGGGAGGAAAACTACTGGATGTGACTCTTTTGCTTTGACAAAGGATAAACTAAATGCTTTGTTGTTGAATTCTAAAGCTTTTAATCCCCTTTTCATTAAATTCCTTCTATCAGTTCTGATGTGTCTTATCTGTTTTATCTGTTTGCTTGTTGTATTTCATCTTATTGAATTTCTGAAATTTCTTGTTTTTAATTGACCGATTATGCTTGTCTCATTGTTACGATTGTTTTAAACCATGTAAAGCACCTTGTCACTTTGCTTTGTATGTTGCTGTATCAATAAAATGTGTTATAATTATTAACATTACTCTGTCATCCATATTTCTAGAGTCCAAACCAAGTGAGGAGAGTTTTGAGTGTGTGGATGTGTCTGTATTATTGTGTATTTAAAAAGAGTTTAAATCTCGATAAAGAGGCAGAAATGATGAATCAAGATGAGCTCACTTTCATCTGAAGGAGACAGAGAAAGAGTGAGACACTGAGTGACAAAAAGAGTGTGTGTGTGTGTGTGTGTTTCTTACGCAGGGTACTCAGGCACAGTGTCTGTGAAGGCGGGCAGGTCCTTAACATACTCGTTGTAAAGCCACTTGACCTTGAAGTGCAGGTTCATGTAGTCGGCAGTCTTACAGAGTTTATGCTTCTCATGTTCTGTAAAAACAACACACACAGAAGCACAGCACAATAAACACCAGATGTATCTCTTGAGGGGCTGCATGGCGGTGTGGTGGCTAACACTGTCGCCTCACAGCAAGATGGACCGGGGAGTCAATTCAATTCAATATATTTTGTATAGCCCAAAATCACAAATGACACATTTGCCTCAGAGGGCTTTACAATCTGTACCCATGCAACATCCTCTGTCCCGGGACCCTCACATCGGAACAGGATAAACTCCCCCAAAAAACCCTTTAACAGGGAGAAACGAGGGAGAGACCTGTGAGAGAGCAACAGAGGAGGGACCCCTCTACCAGGATGGACAGACGTGTGATAGATGTCATGTCTACAGAATGAACAACATTACAGATACAACTCATTCAATGCATATGACAGAAAGTATTCATATAATGAGAGTAGTGAGCAGAATAATGACGGAACAATGACGACTACTACCAATAACAGCAGAAGTGGATATAGTAGAATAACAATGATAACAAAAGCAGTAATGGATCGATTCCCCGTGTCAGTGTGGATTCATCAGTCAGCACATCTGGTAAGAGCATGTCTGGATGGTTTCGAACGTTTGGTGCATCTGGAGTCGACAGCTCATATTTTTTTTTATCTCAAGAGAAAATATAAGAGACATTTAAGGGAGTGTTGCTGCATGAGGCCTTTGTGTTGCTGTAAAACAAATACGTCCGTCACCTCCTCCTGTTGTCAATATAAAACATGGTCCATGGTGCAAATAAGGTTGGAAATGTCTGCTATGGATGACTAATCAAAAATACACACACACACACACACACACACACATCTTACCGGCGTCGAAATCAACTTTGCGGATGCGAAATGTGGCGGGAGCTGAGATGGCAACAGAATGAGAAAACAAACCAATGAGAGATCAGAGAGGACAGAGAGGCGGGTTTGAAAGCGACAGAAATGAGAATGGAAAGGAATAATGTCAAACACAACACTAGGGGAGTTGGAAGGTCGACCAAATAGAAAAAAAGCCTATAAATGAGTCTCCTGAGGGACTTTTCAGCAATCAAATCTGTGATTTGATGCTGACTCGGCTACAAAACTCAGTTTTTACAGGCCAGACAGCATTTCAGGGTTCTATAGTTTCTACAAGTCTAATATGAGACACAGTCAAGAGCCAGAATATCGAGTAGCTAAGCAGGTTTCAAATGAGACAGAGGGACTCTTGAAACAGTGTAATGTGGAACGCCACAGGGGGAATCAATCATGTTATAGATTGTTTCTCAGTGTTAGAGACGGTATGTACTTGAGGCACCCACACACAGCATTTTAAAGTTTCCGATGACCTACAGGAGAGTCTGCATTCAATTAACACCCGCGGCCAAAGAGATTATCAGACGACATTGGACTCAAGCTTTGAGACTTCTGACTGTATCTTCTCATCGGCTACGTTGTGTTTGTCTAAAACCTCACCGTTGTTCCAGCGGTGGTGCTCGACTTTATACAAAACTGGAAGAGACGAAATGCAAAGAGAAGGAAGAGAGTCGATGGAGAGAAGAAAGTGATGTATGAATGTAGAGGGGAAACAAATGGCGGCAAGTTGTTAACCTTTATCTCTCTCTTACACACACACACACACACACACACACACACACACACACACACACACTGTGTACAGACACACACAGTCTTACCTTCCAGAGCGTACTTCATGTCCTGAGCGAACAGCCTCCACATGACCTCTGTGCTGACTTTACCCACATCGAGTTCCTGAGGAAACCTGAAGTTCAGACAAACAGAGAAACTTTTAGTTGATCTGCTAGTGAGATAAACAACAAACTTATCTTTTTATCAGCCTACTGTGTTTACAGTCCTTAAAGTAAAACAACTTGCAGCAACAATAAAAAAAACCTGCTGCTAGCAATCTGTTCCTGATAGAACATCTAAATAACATTAGTTTAAAAAACACCAAAGAAATCAAACATTTTACACTAAATTTTGAACTAAAATCATACAAAAATAAACTGCAGTCTCTGCATTCATACTTTTATTTTGTAAGCTTAAATTATTATTTTAAACCTGAATGTAACTGAAACTTTTTACTCATTTCAACCGATAATTAATTATAGTTTTAATTATATCCAGATATACGAAAGAATTTGATAATTTTCTCAACTAGCGGCTGTGAGTTGCAGTAAATTCAACATCTTACAAGCAATATTTCAAAACAATGCAATGGCTGCATCATTGCCCTAACTTTCCCAATATGTCATAATGCAAATGAAGGCACAAAATACCAAACAAAAGATACTAAAAGTCAGCACTGACTGGTTAATGATGGGTGTGTAGGAGTTCTTGTCCTCCTCGATGATGGAGACGATGAGCGTGATGAGTTTCGGCCAAAAGTCCAGATTCTGGATGCTCGGGCCCTGCTCCTCCTGCTGGTTCTCCTCTTTCTTTTCCTCCTCCTCTTCCTCTTCCTCCTCTTCCTCGTCTTTATCTCCATCGTCTTCCACCTCCTCACCTTCCGCCTTTTCCTTCTTCTTCTTCTTCTTCTTTTTCTGCTCAGGCTGTGAGAGGGAAAGAGACGCAAGATGAAATGTTTAATTTGTTTTCTCCGATGAGAAGTTGAATGTCCAGCAGTTGCAGAAAGAAACATGCTTTTATGAAGCAAGAGGCAGCACAGAACAGAAGAAAAACTAATTTTAGTGCTCAAAGGTTGTAATTTCAATAAATGATCTGCACTGAATAATTTACAACAATATTATTCCTCCGCGATATTGATTTGTTATAAAAGATTGCAGCTCCATGTTCTCCAAGTTCTGCACAATCCATAACGCTGAAAAAGGAGACTTTTCTTGATTACCATGCAAAGTATTGCTAATTTATACAAAACACAGGCTGGTTTAATGAGTTTAGACTTATTAAGACATGAATCTCTCCGGGCACGGTCCAAAATACAAAGTGTTCTAGAGATACTGCTTCGGCTGATGGAGACTCAGTTATCAGTGCAATCATCATGTGCTGCATGTACCGAGATCAATATGAGCAAAAGTGAAGGTGAGGCAAAAAAAAGTTGTGTTTACTCGATTTCCATACTTTTAAATGGAGGAAATCCGGGATCATTAAGCGTTCTCTCTCAAAGAACATCAAAACACGGTGAGAAAGGCCCCTTTCCTCCAGAGCATCCTCTGCAACATGTCGATGCTCAGCGACTCACCGGTTGGACGGCGGGCTGGAACTGGCGGTTGAAGAGCTCCAGACAGTTGTTGAAGATGTACTCGTAGGTGGAGTTCAGGCAGGCCTTGACGCAGTCCCGCACCACGTTGGCGGCCCTGGGAGGACTCTGCAGCTCCAAGACCTGCACGAGGCCAGACGAGTCAGACACACATAGACAACCATGCATTGGTAAGCTATATAGTAGGTAAATATAGAGATATTATCAAATCATGTACAAACCCATCAATAAAAATGAAATAGTGAAAAATAATTGGACAACTGAGGCCGAAAGTGAGATTGAAAGCCTTTTTTTGCTTCAATTCAAACTGGAATAGAAAATATATATTCACTCATGAATACATGAAAACATGTCGGTTCATTTGGTCCGAACCACAGAAAATAAATGATATATTGTTGCATTATTTTGATCTGGTTCCTGTTTGCACTGACATGTTTTTAACCAACGAACCAAATGGAGTAAACATGTCGTTATACAGACAGGTCATCCTGCATCATCAGGACCAACGAGGGGCTTTAATGCTTCTGTTTATATATATATATATATATATGTTCTTTGATTAATATGTGATTATAAGCATCATTAGTTTTATGAGCCTACAAATTGACCGCATGTTATGAAGGATGACTAACAGGTAGAGACAGGAGTGTCCAAAAGCCCCTTTGTGCTCTCAGGTGACTGGTGCACACAAACACATGAATGAGGCGTCTTCTTACTGTGGAATCACTATCGCACACTTTTTAATGGACTTAATGAACTGGCAAAGTTTATGGAGTCGATAACAAGCAGAGCAGTTTTAACAGCGTTGAACCTATTAGTCAGGGACAATACCCGCGCTGACGTGCTTATATACATAGCTTTATAAAGATCAATCATAAGATCGCTTCCTGAACAGATTTCACGATCAGCAGATTTATTTATTGATTTATAAGTATTTTAGCTTTTGAAATCATGCTAAAATCCCACATCTGCTTTCATAAAATCCCGTGGTTGGTTAGTTTGCTTTCACACTAGAAACAACACTTTAGTCTGCTTTGGAACAGTTCCCGGCCTGGTTGTAATGGCAGCTTTCACACCGGCTGAAACAAACCGTACTAACTGAGTGGATTGTTACCGAACCAATCGGGTGAGGTGTGAAAGCACACGGATACACGACCTTTCCTCCGTCCTCAACTCTGGAATCAATCTTCCCCTAACAGACCTGAAGTCGACAGCACCCACTCACTCTGAGAGACATTAGTCAGAGGCTGCAATCAATCCTGCAACACTGCAGCTCAACTCTCTCAGAGTGTGTGTGTGTGTGTGTGTGTGTGTGTGGGTGTGTGTGTGTGTGTGTGTGTGTCTCCTCTTGTGTTTCTACTGCTATTAGAGTCCTCACAAGAACCAAAAATACTGCAAATTTTGGGCATTTTGAAGTAGCGAATCATTTTCAGTGGTGTGGAGAGTACAATTAAAACGTATTAATACAAAGAAATACACACAGAAACCAGACAACAACAGAACACAGTTAGAAACAGTTACGTCCAAGAGCCGAGCTGTTTGTAATCATGGCTTTAAATTTTGTTGAGTCTTGTGTTGTAAAAAAGCAGTTTGCCCAAATTCAGCGTGTGCACACCGAACTTCAGTTGAAGAGTCAAATAAAGACCAATTTAATAAGGAAGTATACGATGGCAAGTTGGCATTAAACCAATGTCAGTCACATCTTTCTGTTAGAGATGCCCACCCAACCTTTTTCATACAAGATGCAAGGATTAGTAGATTAACTCTCACCGGTAATAAAAACAGGTTTTAAAATATCAGTCAAGCAGTGTCGTGTCGTGTCGTGTCGTGTGTATCTGAGTTCATGAGTTGGTGATTTTGAGCTGATTTGTTATTTCTACCTTCATCCTGAAGAAGGTGATGCTGGTGAGAAGATCCACCGTTGACTTGAGGTCATGGAGGCGAGGCTTGCTGCTGGCCGGGAAGTTGTTCTGTCGACAGACACACACACACACACACACACACACACACACACACACACACACACACACACAAACACAAACAAGTCTATTAAGCATTTGTTTAGTTTATCTTCCTTAATGGACTGAAGCCTTTTTTTCCTATAATTTATTTCCTTATTCAATCATGGTCGTTGTTTGCCTTTTTAATTGTTCATCATATCGTCAGCCTTTAATTTACTGCATAACCGATTACAAGCAAACAGTCGTTTGAATGAATGCAAAAAGCCAGAGACCCGTCATCCTGACACAAACTATATGAAAACCCTGCTGTGACCCCCAGACTAAACTAAAGAGACTAACAAACAAACAACATCTGAGCAGCTGAGAACAAAGTATTTTTAACATCAAGAACATATCTGAGGAAATAAAGAAGCCAGATGACAGCGGGAGGTGGTAACCTAATTGTTGCAGACAGTTTGGGGCCGATGACAAGTTAATAGTTTATGTTGACTTGTCGCATTCAGATCTAGACCTACACACCACGTCGTCTTAATGTAAATGAACGTCACTGGGACGGACTGAAGCTATAGATCTGCGTGTGGTGAAGAAAAGAGCAAAAGCATCTGAAGACTCACTCTGTACATGGAGAGGTCGATACGCAGGGAGTTGTGCAGCTGATCGAGCAGCTTCACAAAACGATCTCTCTGTTGGAAAAAGGAAAACAAAGAGCAGAGAACTTGACACGAGCAGTTTGCAGCCAGTGTGTGTTTGTTTAAATGTGTTTGAGTGTCTGCCTCTGTGTGAATATGTGTGTAGTCTGGCACCATGGAGAGGAACAGAGGGACTGAAATACTGCATGTTTTGTCTGAGAAATATATCAAAACAGAGACACATTTAAGCTACATGAGTATATTTAAGTTTGGAAAAGCAGTTTCGCACTTTACGACACTTGTCGGTGATGAAAAGCTTCTTTTTGTGTTGAGGGAGCACAGAAACCGATCCAAAACCAGTGCTTTGAAAATAATAAGACCTTAAACAGGATGTAATTCCCTCTCTAATATCTATTTTATATTTCATTCATAATGTAACTCAATGCACCCGCATTGACGTTAACGTCAGCTGTTAGCTCCATTATTTAGCCAAAAAGGACCATGCTGCTCACCGGCTGCTAGCAGCTCAAAGCTAACATTAACCAGCTCTTATCCTGCCGATTTCAGCACAGCATTTGTTGCTCAAAATGTAGCATTATCAGGTGAGAAATAGGATGCATGAGAGTGTTTAAGCACAGGCGTGTAGTACTAGTTTGCTACTCTGGTACATGTGTTGTTGTTGTTCCTGTGTAGTGTAATTAATGAGCTGATAAATGACATGATAATGTCACATCGGATCGGTGCATAGATTCACTCACTCGCTGATCTGTGAGTGAGAGGACACAGCAAAGTTTACTGAATTTTCTATCTGTGTTTTGACCATAATTTGACAGCTTGTATGGTAATATTGTTTTAAACTATTTTCAAAACCACAAAATGTTGACAAAAGCCGCTCAAATTGAATCTACTGATGCTATTTTTTCAAACTTAATCAAAAGTAGCCCAGTTGAGCGGAATCGAATCCTTTCTGGCATCACTGGTTTCACACTAATCTACCAAAACACAGAGCAATGCGCCAACAAAGCCAGTGACGAGGACGACCGCTAGCAGGCAAACATGAATGTTAACGATGCACCAATAAAATCATCTAAAACATCTGATTTGCAATTGTTTTATGAAATGTACTTGATACTTTTCACACTTCTTCGTATCACTTTCATATAGCAGATGCTTTTGTTTGGTGACTTGCACACTCACATTGCTCGGGAGCAATTTGGGGATCAGCGTCTCGCTTAAAAAACGTGGAGACACATGGACAGGAGGAGCCGGGCACCGATCCGCCCTGTGATCAACGGCCAACCAGCTTCATCTGCTGAGCTGCAGCCAGTAGCGGTATCCCCATTGCTTGTTTTGTGATTTTATCCACCACTATCCTTTATATGTTTTGGCAACACTGAAATTGAGCGCGAGAGAGAGAAAGCACTCTGGCGTGGGGGGAGTCACGACATGGCTAACAAACAAAAGAGATAAAATGAGTTTTGTCTCAAAGAGAGAACGAGGAGGAGGAAGAAAGAAAACTGGCATTGAACATTGCAGTTGAACACATTTATCTAAAAGGTAACAGTAACAACACTGGTGATTCCCACATTGGTGCTGTGAAAGTAAAGTTAGTCAAATATCTGAGTTTTCTTTTTCTTTTTTACCATTCTCACCAGATTCTACAGGGTCTAATGTGTCTCAATTTAGAAACAGCTGTGTGGAAGCCCGCAAAGTCTTCTCATGTCTGAAGCATCCAAAGTAGGTAAAACAGCAAGGCACTCAGTAGGCAAGTTATCCTAAGTCCTACATACGTACATCTGTACTGATGACGGGATGTTTTCTTCTGGTCAGAAGGTCTTTTTGGTGACAACCAATGAAAATGAATTGTACATGTTGTCTAAAAAACCTGTAAAGGTCAGGTTGTCTAATGAAAATGTTAGACAGACAACTCTGTGTGAATGTCTGTCTCCTATCATTATTGATCAATAATAATCTCCAAAGCCATCAATCTAATTCAATGTATTTGGATAGCCCAAAACCAGGAATCAGCCTCAGAGGGCGTTACGATCTGTACATCTTCTGTCCCAGGACCCCTTACATCGGGAAAAGAAAAAACTCCCCCCTTACAAGACCTTCAACAGGAACAAAAACAAAAGAAACCTACAGAATGACCATGCAAGCAGTCATATATTTGACTGATAATAGTAATAGCAGTGGGTGTCTGGGTGCTTTTATTTTGTGTTTGCTTTTAGTGTTTTTGACAGAATTTTCGCGACAGCGTGATTTGATTACATAACTGCTGAAAAGTTTCGTTGGAAATCTGTCATACCTCAATCCTCTCCTTTGTAAAAGTAGACAGTCGTGTCTGCAATCCATAGCAATTAGTTTGTGCATCGTCAGTATATTGGAAGGGTTTCCCCTTTGTCTTTAATCTTTGGAAGAAAGTCTGAAAAATGGCCAACATCACCTGGCATAAACAACCAATGAACACGATTGCCAAACTCTTGAAAGGACTCTTTTAACTCTCGTTTTGGTTGTGTCTATCCGTGTGTCCCCTGGCGGCAGGAGCAAAGCGAACAGAGGAAGCAGAGAGCGTTATAGCTCCTTGTTAAAAAAAACAAGGAGTTGAGTTTGGTTTTATGTGAGAGAAAAGGAAGCAGAGGGAGGGAGAAATTCCCCAACACTAACTTCCCCAGTTCATGCCAAAGCACGTCTCTAAATTTGAAGGATAAGGCTGGTAATAGTCCACGTTCTTTATTGTCAATAAACGCTCTGAATAATGTATGTTTTAGAGCTCCATTGTTGTCCAAAAACTACAGGTCGGTATCAAAGGTCAGTATCGGTCCTGACACCAATCCACCGGATCAGATTGGTGAACCCTTACTTTCTTACACCTCCAGCAGAGAACCGATTGGCTTGGGGCTGAACGCCAGAAATCACAGTTAGGTTTGGTCTTTTCATGGGGTTTGTTGACAACAAGAAAATATATATAATATAAAATATATAACACCGACAGCCATAACCTTAGAACTTCACTATCAAAGAGCCCTTTGAAGAGGTGCGAGACGGACAAAATGTCCTCAATTTCTAAAAACTCTCTCTTAACGTTTGAAATCCAGAAACACACACACGCACACACACACACACACACACACACACACACACACACACACACACACACACTTTCCTTGTTACCTGGTTACTCCCTTCAGGTTTACTGCAGTGACTCCCTGAACGTCCCTGTCCTCTGCTGCTGTGACACATTTTATGTGATCATAAAAACATGACAAGCCCAGAGGCTTCAACTCACAATCAAGTAAAGTGGCCTGGAGGAGAAAAACAGATAATATAACAGATAATCATTGGGAGCTGAACTTTTTTGCATAAAAGTCTGAAGCCGGGTTCATTATTCTTAGAGACTCAGTTTTCATCACCATTAAATGAACCTTCAGGAACTTTTGTTTTTGTATTTTTGAGGTTTTCAATTCACCAAAAGCTATTATTGGTGAGCTCAATTTGAAATAAGTACTATATTATTGTTGTTGTAGTCTATTATTCTTGTTCTTTAAGGCCTTTCTGTCCCCTTGCTCCTGACCAATAGGCAGCCCCTCTACCTTCAATCATCTAAATCCTGAGACATTACTTAATATGTCAGTGGTGCTCAGACATCATGTCTTTTGTGATCTCCGTGACCTTGTAGCACAGTAAATCCAACCTGATCACGTATTTTCCCTCTATCTGCTGGTGTAAGAACCAGAGCTTCTCAGTCGTCCTTGTGGAGCAGGTGCAGAAATCACCACGAGCGAATGAACGCCAAACTTAGACAAGTGAAGGCCGACAACATTGAATTATCTTGGGAGGAAACAGCATGTGTTGCTCTGATCAAAGTGGGAACAAACACTCGTACAACTGTGCTCGTGCACTCATTACGTGTCACCGGAGTCTTCCTCAAGCTGCTAGCTTGACGAGCTAGCTGTGAGTATTGAGTGCTAACAATAGTCAGATTTGTTGTTTACGTTTAATATGATCGTGTTGGGGGAGTGGCTTTGGAGGGAGGCTCAAAGGGAGGGGCCGTCAGTGTTGCCGACTTAACGACTTTCACGCTACATTTAGCAGCTTTTGGAGCTGAGCTGCTCGCCACTTTCATTGGAAAAGACAAGAGTGAGGTTTTTTCTTAAGAGCTGTGCATTTTTGTTACACGGAAATTAGAGAAACAGTTGCACGCCTCTTATTTAAGGTTAGTTAGAAGTTGTTGATTTCAGGAGGAAACAGAGACCCACTAAAATCTCAATGGCAGATTTTCATTCAAGCCAAAGTAAATATCAATGCATTATTGCATTTATTGCCATTGTATTGTATTGGCTGTGGAAATATTTCACATGTTTGCATGTTCAGCTGACCTACTGTGCACCGACTAAAGGACTCTCTAGAATACACCAGCAATTCATTTGTAGTCATTTATATATACCACTTGTTGCCCTGTGATAAATAGTGACACATAATGATTTTCAAATTACAATTACACATCACTTCCTCTCCTGGAGATATGACACTATGGGACCCGTAAAATAAAAGGTCATATTGGGCAACATACAAACCACAGAAGAAGGCAGGTAGTTTTGGTATTAAAGCACATTTCTTGCACAAATCAGCACGTGGCATCTCTGCATTTGATGCCACGTGCTTTAGACTGCAGGCAGCAACAAATGTGAACTCTCTAAATTCTTTATAGCAGAATTGCACCGAGCTGCTCGGTCACTATTGACACGGAACGCTACTGTGCTTCTTCTCCCACTCTGAGGTGTAATCACATTCAAGTCACGAAGGTACAAAATGGGCAGAGACGAGAATGAAAACCAGGCACCTCCGATCAAAGTGTCACTTCAAAAGAACAAATCTGGGTTTTGGTATTATGGCACAAAATCATGGATAAAACATCTTACGTGAACCTAAATTACCTTGAACACTTTAATCCACAACGCGCTCTGCTGCAAAACCTCCAGTACAATTCCAGTCATTCACTTTTTAAAGAGCAGGCATTGCTAATTTAAAGCATTTAGGGAAATATTAGTAAGAACGCGTTTGTTGCTGCTCAGATTTTTTGAAGATATATTGCTGAAGCTTGACTAGACCAGTGCAGCCTGTAGCTGACAACTAGGGAGCTCTCAGGTGTGTAATGTTTGTTCCCACCGGCACACACTCACACACACACACACACACACACACGCACGCACGCACACGCACATGAACACACACGCACACACACACTCACACAGTCTGCAGGCATATAAACACACTCACACACCTGAGCAACATCACAGACAACGTCGGTAAAACTGTCAGCTGATGACTTGATCTCAGCGATGGTTTACGAAGAGCAGACGAGAGGAGGAGCGGATCGATACGACGCCATCTTTCTCACACGGACGCAGGGAGTGAGAGGACGGACACAGACGGCGGGAGGGAGGGAGGGAAGTTTTGCGAATTAGTTGTCACCTTGTTGCCGTGGCAATGAGTACATTGAAATTGACTTATTATTAAAAAACGACACCAAAAAAAAGCAATAAAGAACCAGAAAAAGTGAAGGAGGGAACACGTGTGTGTTTCTGTCTGGGAGGAAGCAGCACCAAAGAGGATGGAAGAAACAGTAAAAAATAATAATAATATAATAAATAAAAAAAGCTGCAGTAAATAAACGGAGACAGACAGACTGAGGCCGAGCAGAAGGTAAAAAAACAACAAATAACATCATACCTGCCTGTGTGTTCATGCTGACTGACACCAATAATAACACATTTAAAGAAAATTACTTGTAATTGCTACAAAACACCATTTGCTGAAAGAATCAAAACTAATATCAGTATAAAACAAGCATTTTTAGATTTGTGAATAACAAACCAAATATAGTGAATGGCATAAAAAATGAATTACTCCCATAGAAAACCTCTAAACAGTTATTGATTACAGTAAATACATATAGACGGACCGATATCAGATTAATGCCAATGATTTCAAAGAGAATCGTACTCAGTATGATTTCAAAACAACAGTAAACTGACAAACATAATACAATGATTTGATTCAGCTCATATTCTATATTTATAGAAATGGCTCAACGATAAGATTTCCATTTTGCCACGTCAGGTAAATTATTAAATTATAATTATAATTCCCTTGTTAATGAAAGGTGCTATACAAAAATACATTTGCCTCCATTGCCAGTAATACCTTAATGGATGTTTTAGAGCTCACAGGTTAAGTAATGAATTAAAATATGGTCGTTTTAGGATAATTAGTTCTTACAGGGAGTCAAGACATTATTGAACTGTCGCTTAGTCATTAATTAGTGCTGGTCCTCTATGCTAGAGTGTATTACATGTCATGCATTAATTCATACATCAATTCAAGCTGAGTCATGCATTCATTACTGTCAAGTCATTACACTGTTACTGTTCTCTAAGATCAAAGAGGGATGAGAACACAGCTTAATGAAACCAGTGAATTACCCAGATACATAGAAAACAACTGAATCCAGCTGAATGTAATGAGACACAGTTGTAGTTGAGAGCAAGTCCGCCTGCATCTCCTGATCCATTAAAGGAAGTGCGCTCTGCCTGCAGTCGCTCGTATATCACCAGAGTCTGAGTGCAACTGGTAGGAACACTGTAGTGGGCACTGCTGGCAAGGATCCCAGGAGTCATTAAGTTCGGCCTCTAACTGTCATTGTCCCCGCCGTCTACGTTTCCTGCGGGGCCCGCCGGCTGAAATTTGGACCACTGCAAAGCACAGAGCCGTTAAAGAAGGTCCCGCAGTGATAAGACGTTAACTTTTAATCAGGGAGATTATTAGCAGCATAAACGAACAACGTGCTGGCTCTGCTCAGATCGTTCCTCATGGATGTTTATGTGAGACAGGTCCTTTAAAATGCTTTCCCTTCAGCAGGTGGCAGTCAATACGCCCCCGGTTTGGAAAAACAGACAGGAGTACCAGCATCAGCATGGAAACAAAGCAATGTACTGCTGAGGACGGGAGCAGCTGCAACATGCGTTTAAAGACACCTAAAACAATCACTGCAAGGTAAAGCAGGGAAAATATTCTAAATATAGCGTACACTAAAATACGTCAACAGCAGTACATTACTTTGCTCCCATGCTTCTCTAAACTCCATCTCCTCTAGTAATACTCTGACTATGGAGAAGTACCTCATACAACCACACTTCACAACATCCAAACTATACCTTTAAATACTACAGTTACAATCCACGTCACCTTCTGAAGACTTTGTGACGCCTACTTTAGGTCAAAATGTATATTATAGGCAAATTTCTGTCTTTTTTGAAGCCTGAAATCCAATCCTGTTTTAAAGTGGAGTTCAGTCCTGTAAGATCTCCGTCGGGGCAGAGAAAAACAGTTTTTTTAAATCAGTCGCAGACTAAAAGCTATTTGTTTAATCTCACATAATCATATCAAGAAGAGAGCCTTTTGTTTGGGTAAAAGCAGCTTGAAGGTAAATGTTGAATTCATTAGTAAGATGAATCTCAACATGCCCTCTGTATTCTAACGTCGTTATGCATCTGCGATGCTCCGGTCAAATAACGCAGCTCCTCCCAAGGCAATGACAACGTCACCGTCACTGTTCCGACCTGTAATTGTGGTGCAACCAATACCCACGGCAGCGTAATCATTTCTAAGGCTTTATCAGAATCAAATCAGTCGTGTCTGAAAAAGCCAGTTGTGACTGATGAAGGATGCAGGGAATAAAGAGCCAGCCCATAATCCCTCAGAGAAATATCTGGATATGCATGAGACTTAGATGTTTGAAGGTTTTGTGCACCTTAAACAAAGACCACAGCTGATATTGTCTCAGTGTTGTGTCCCTGCAGTACAAATCACATTATCATCACTAGCTGCTGCTCTGAAACACAAGCTTTGTAGTTCACTATGTCAACTCGTATTTTTTACCAGTTTGCCTCTTCTTTAACTTCTTTCCTTTATAGTGAAACATGTGAGTCGAGTATTTCATTCAACTTCCATTCAACCAAGGCCACCGATAACGTGAAGGTGTTTATGTCAGAGCGTTGATTTGAATTAAGTCGGAGTTTGCTGACGACAATGCTGCATCTTTAATTCAAATATATCATTGATAGAATAATAAATTGGTTGTTTTAAAATCCAAGCACCTGAGGTATGTTGAAGTCTTCTACCATGGACACCAACGTGCATGAACTCATCCGAAAGCTGCGTCTGCACTCAATCTATGTAGCAACAGGTGACGCTTTGCAAAGAGAAAGCCAAAGGGTCTCGACTGGTCGGATGGTGTTGAACAGATTCGTGCTTATCTGCTCGTCACTCACCCCGAAGTTGGAGGCTGCAAATCTGGCCGGAGCGGAGACGTTGGTGGAGGCGGTCGGGTGGGCATAGAAGGCATTGATGTTGGCCAGCAGGGTGCTCATCACTGCCGGCACCCCTGACAGCATGTACTTAGAGGACAGGCAAGAGAAATGGCTGTGGAGGGAAGGAGAGGAGAGAGAGAGGGATGGGTGGGAGGAGAAGGAGAAAGGGAAGGTTATAGCAGGTTTTTGGAAGGAGGGAGATTGAAGGTTTAAAAGCAGGAAGAGGACAGATATGTAGAGGGGGGGGAGGAGGAGACAGGGGGAGAGGGAAGGAAGGAGGAAGACACGGAGAAACCAGAGAGAGATCAGAAGGAGGATGGAGGATGGAGGGTGGAGGGAAACCAACAAAGATGAATTAAGTTGAGATTAAGTTAAAGCAGTTGATCAACAGTGTACAATTGTGGCTATTTTTTCTCCAACTTCATCATCACGACTAAAGAGCTCAACACCACTTTTTGAACGACTCGGCTTCTGTAAGTGGATTTCTCATCACGTCGCTCGATCAGCGTTTCAGAAAATCCTTATCTGAAGTGTTTTAAGCATTGAACCAAGCCAATCGACTACCTGCCGAATTGTAACTGAAAAAGATTTATTTAAGAGCAAAACAATTAACTGGAAAATAGAAAAGAAAGGCAAAGGTACAGAACTGTGTACATCATTATTTTAATAGTGAAGGAAATTACTCAGCCCAGAGACCGTTGGGAATATTGTGAATTCTACTCGTTGTCACTGTGACGGTTGTGAGGCCTTGGACTATACATCTGTTCTCCAAATGTTATCTCTAAAACTCATTAAACACAATTTATGACACATCGTTTCGCTGTTAACTAATGCACAAAATTATACATATTGTTAATGTGACAGCACTAAGTTACTAATTCGAGAGAGTCAAAATATTTCAACACCTAATGGGATCCACAGAAGCAGACACACGTATGAAGAGTTCGTTCCAGTGAGGGAACCAAAATGAAGCTGTCAGTGAGATGTGAGACTTAATAATGGCGACAGCGCGTCTGTGTATTTCAATCACCGTTTCCATTTGGCGGTGTTATTGGACGGCTCATATCCCCATTTCCTCTGGGACATTTCTGCTCACAACTTCAATCCCCTCAATGCTTCCCGGCCTGATTATGTTACACGTTTGTGCTCCAACACAGAGACCCACTCTGTCCCTTTAAGGTTAAACTACATTATTAACGTAAATAAACCAGTGTGTAAATGTGTGTGTGTGTGTTTGTCTCTCCACCTGCCTACAATGATCCAATCTCTGTGGTGGCAGATCATCTTTTCTCATTAGATAAACTAATTTGCATGCTGTTTATAGTTCATAACAACCTCTCATCACATCAACACACACACACACACACACCTACACACACACACACACACACAAACACAGGTCTACAGATACTGTTCACAAACACACACTGATTTCAAGTATTTCCTGATTGGATTAACCCACACACAATCGGCTAACATCATGGAGACGGTGAGCTTACGTCATGGCCTGGTAGATGGACTCGATGCCGTAGCGCATGGCGAACTCGTCCACGATGTCCTGCTTCACCTCGTCATAGTAAACCTTCCACGCGTCGTCTCCCTGAGCCGCTGGGATCTTCACCACGCCACCTCCCTCTACGTCCGTTGAGAAGTGGAACATGTTCTACCGAGAGGGGGGGAAAAAAGGTTGAGAGAGCAGGAAAAACATCAGCAGTGCTAAAGGAAGTGAACAACAGCCTGGTTACACAACAGCGGGCTGAGAAGTTCTGGCTTCAGAGGTTGTTGAAAACTCGTCATAGTTAAATACAAGCAGAATAACAGAATGCAATTCTGATTTGGGACACGACACTGCTGAGTGGAAACATAACTTCCACATCTGGATACTTTGTTATCTTTCCTTTGTCTTCGTTTGTCTTTTTCATGTTCCAGCAGACTCAACCATCAGAAGCAATTTGTCAAATTTGAAAAGGCTTTAAATAAAGTAAAGTATAATCAGACATGTGTTGTTTGTAGAAAACTCCAACATATTCTTTATAACAATATAAATGTATTGTTTGCTCTTTATGGAATGATTGCTTGAAGCTACTATGAGGAACTTTCATTTTGTTTTGATTCTGGCGGCCCCTTCACATGCTGTAGTGTTTGCTTTTAGGAAGCCTCTCATTTTACTGCAGCAGGGTTTGACAGTCTGTCCCACTCAGTCCTAGTTCTGGTTCTCCCGTGCCTCCCTTCCCTCCAGCGGGTCCAGCAATACGTCCTGGGTCTCCAGCAGCGTGGTGTTGGTGTTAGCTCCCAGAGAGGAGAAGCTCTGCTGCTGGAGGAGGAGGAGGAGGAGGAGCTGCTGCTGCTGCCGGGAGCCTAGCTCTCCTCCTTCCTCCGGAGCTCCAGACTGCAGGTCCAAGGCTGCAGGTGAAGCCGGATCTGGGTCTGTCCACAGTGGACCGGTCTCTGCTGGAGTCTGAACTGAAGGAGTTTCTGGTGAACCTGCATGATGTCATCTGGTTTCACCAGAATCCGACCCGGTGGCTCCGATGATGAGCTTTAATTATAACTCTATAGAAACAGACCATCTTCCCTCTGCTGGTCTCGTTACTGATGGAGGTCTTATAGAGGATCAGGACTAAACTGAGACTGGTTCAGAACCAGATAAAAGTTCCTCATTGTTACTTTAAGCAATTAGTCAATTAATAGATATGTTTACTGTATCTGCAGATATTAATCAACAACAACAATTTTGATTAGAAACGAGCAAACATACAGATTTCAACGTTTTGTTCTCGTTAAAAAACTCTCAATGGACTCCAGTGTGACTCCATGTGTGTGTCTCCAGTTCCCCATAAACTTCCTACATCAGCTTATTCCTGACTTTACATGTATATGTGTGTGTGTGTGTGTGTCACCTCATGAAGGCAGGTGTACTGTACGTGGTAGGGTGCCACCTTCTCCTCTCCCTCGATCTCCACGCTGATCTGAAGACGAATGGCACCAGACACCGCCGACTTGTCTGTTCTCTTTTCTGCAAGTGGAGACACACGCCCACACACACACACACACCCACACACACACACACGCCCACACACACACACACACACCCACACACACATACACACACACACACACACACACACACAATTACTCTGAAGTCGTACATCTCTCAGAGTTGAACTTCAGTTGAACTTCGGATCTAAGACGACAACTAAAACTGCAGTGCTAATGAGCAAATCCGCATTCTGAAACACAAACACAAACACCAACTACACACTCCCATCTACCACATAAACACACAGACACACACACACACACACACACGCACACACACACACACCATGTCTCCCATATTGCTACATACCCAGGTTGTACCAGACGTCCATCTCTCCGCTCAGAGTTCGGACCTCGATGATGCTCTGACCCAGGAAGTCGTCGGACTCCCTCTTCAGACGCTGCTTCACTCGCGACTTGATGTCGTCGTCTTCGTCCCAAACTCGCAGCTTGACGCGATCCGAGGAGTTGTGGCACTCACTGGGGAGACAGAGGACGGGTGGGCGGCGGACGTGTTGTTTTAACAAACGTGTGGGTGTCGGAGCAGATGGCTAAAGTGGAAGGTTTGCACGCATGGAGCAAATTAACACCCGTTCATGACTACTTTGCACCTCGTGGTCTTTCTGTGGTGACGAGCCAGTAAACATGGATTAAAACTGTACAACATGTTTTCGATGATTTGGCTAAAACCTGGTTGAATTTGAATGAGAAATTATAGTTTATTATTAGAAGTCTGCATTACTCTCTTCTTTTAGGGAAGGCAACAGGTCGTATACATAAATAAAAGCAGTGTAAATCAACCTGATTTATGTGCTAAATTATTAAAATGATTATATTAAATGATAAAGTGGGTGAGAAACAATTTAATCATGCTATTACATATAACTGTTGTTTATACATTCGTTGTTGTTTATCACTTCAATAACTTAAATGTTTCTGAAATGATATTAAAAAAAACTTTTCACAAATATTTTGACCGGTATGATTTTGATTTTACAATTTTGACAAGATGTCTATGCGTCTCTTGATCCAGTCTGGTCTCCAAAAATGCACTTTTAGTAACATTTTGAGGGAAACATATTTTCTCCCGAATTCCGTCTGTTGCTGAATTATTACAAATATGTTTCTTATCAAAGTCTGCAGAAGTCAGCATGTAGGGAGGAGATCAGGGAGGATGGACGGGTCAAACAAACCCAGGACATTCACCCAGGAGACTGCTGTTAGTGTCCTGTGTGAAACCAAAAGTTAAGGTTGACTTGTTTGAATTTACATCTGTAATTTAAATAACAACACAAATGTAATTATTTTAAGCCAAACCATGATATTTTTACTCGAGATGTTGTTTGAATTTACAACATTCTGTCAACGTAGTCCAGGAGAAACTGAGAATGCAGTAAAGTTGAACAGGAACGTAATTTAGGAGACGGGGTTGTTTGACATGCAAATTATCTAATCAATGCGAACATGGTACAACTGTGACAGAGCTTCTAATGAAAACATATTCAGATTCAAACAGTCACTGAGCCGATGCATATTTGAAATTCTCGATGCCACTTCCTTTCGTGTGAATGCATCTCATTTCATTATTATATTGCCTCATCTTGTGGCCCTGTGTTTTTCACTTAAATAACACAGCTTCACATCAACCAACACTCAAGCGTCCTACTCTAATAAACACTCATATACGTCTGATACTACTGTGATTCTACAATTATATACTGCATTTTTACTCAGGTGTGATTTTGCTTTTATCAGGACCTTTGTTGGTAATGGAGGTTTGAAGGCCCTGCATTCCTTTACAGGTGACTCATAGGACTCCATGTTCGAATAAATATGATGTGTTGTACCAGTCAGGTGCACCAAAGCTAACAGCAGAGTGAGGGAGATCAGTGTCTACACACACACACACACACACACACACACACACACACACACACACACACACACACACACACACAGTCCTGACAAAAAATACAAACAACCAAAAGAACTGAAATCACCGGTGTAGTTTGACCACAGGTGTGAAGGACCTTAAAGTAAAGGATGTGAAACCTTCTTCCACCCCCGTAACGAGACACTCACTCTGTTTATCTGCTCCAGCTGAGCTCTACAACCAGGAAGAAAATAACAAGCTGAACTTACAAGCTGAACTTTTCCTCCCAGACTGGGTTCAGGTTTCCGTAGATGGTCTTTGTTCTCTTCTTGGTCTTCCCAACTTGGATGGTGACGTACGGGTCGCTGGAGCCCGTTCTGTCCTTGGCCTGGAGACCCTGCGCACTGACGACTGAAAACACACACAAACAGAGGGAATGACTGTGTAAATTGCATAAGAACAACAAAACACCTACTCGTTGCCAACATCTTTCTGTCTCATTCACACACACACACACACACACACACCAAAACACAAGGTATCACCCACACAGTTATGCAAAGCCCCGTAACACACCAATGGTGACTCACAGCCAACATTTCTCACCAAATGACTTACACCTGATGTTCTGCTGTTCTGTGCAACAGGTAGTCAAAGAGGTCTTTTGAAAACAGAGGTGACCTCACTCGGCTTTTAAGTGAGAAACATCTGGCCACCACAGAGACCATGTTTGGATTATATGAGCCGACATGCATATTTGTTTCATTTTAAATTACATATTTTGTACTGCTTATTGTTTCTGTCCAAAATGACTCAAATAGCATCAACACAATAACCATGTTTGTCTTGAAGACCGTCCGTCTGGCTTCCATTGTATCCAAGTTATCGATGGATAATTGTGTGTTTGGGACGTCAACCGCTATAAAAACTTAGCGACCAGGTGATCGTAAGCTCTCATCCAAGAGGAAGCTACATAAATGGCAGACACGGCAAAGACAGAAAAACTATGCGAGGCAAAACAGTGAGTGGACAGCTTGTTCCAGAGGTTTTGCTTTCGTGAGCTTCTGGTGTCGTTGAGCCGGGAAGAGGAGCTAACTTTAAATGTTGTGTTTGTAAACTGCAACCAACTAATCAAACTGATTCTCTCGTTACCTGAGGGAAGGTTTGCTGAGTGTCAATATGTTTTTGCTCAAAAAAGGAGGGCTGCAGGTGTGTTGGTGTGCGCTAAACATGCAGAGTATGTTGTGCTAATGAGGAACATAAGGGTAATGATTTAAACCAGGAAGAGTACAGGGGAACTCACTCATCTGCCAAAATAAAAGCCTATATCCAATATTGTTCCCCATTTTCCACTTTGCATTGCTTAAAGGAATAGTTTGACATTTTGAGGATATATACTTATTTACCTTCTGGTGGAGAGTTAGAGGAGTGTGTGATACCACACTCACACCCGTTAAATATAAAGCTACAGTCAGTTAGCTTAGCTTAGCACAAAGAGTGGAAACAAGGGGAAACAGCTAGCCTGGCTCCGTCCAACGATGACAGAATTCTCCTCTAAAACTCACTAATTAACATGTTTTATCTATTTTTGTTCAATCCAAACAAAAACTGAAAGTGTACTGTAAACGTCCAAAGCATCCGTGTGCTACACTGTGTGGAACTAATTGGGATAATTTCTATTTAAGCTGACAGGGGGTCAGAGTCTGCTCTGAGTCAGCAGCCCATTGAAACACAAAAACAATGTAATGATGACACTGACAAAGAAACTGTATTTCATGTGGATTGATTTAGGCTGGTTTAATCATTGGTAGCAAACAAACAGCGATCTTTCAGCCAGGAGACAGCAGTTTTCCCCCATGAGAAGCAGAGGTTATTTGAACCCAAACGACGATCTATTCCTAAACCTAACTAAGTGTTTTTGTTGCCTAAACATTACTAAGTTGTTTCCTGTGAAGACAGAAGTGTTTTTTTTTAAAGACTGTATGCATGTAACGAGCGGAGATTGACACGTGTTGCTGGCTTTTGCAGGAAAACGTACAAACAATGAGGAGTAACTTTTCGAATGGTATCATACGAACACTGAGGTTACGTTGATTGACTATTATGAATATCATCTGATCTGGTCAGTGATGCCCTGGCTCTGACATGCATCCCTTGCTTAAAATGTGCAAAAGAGAAAATCAGATAAATGCTTATGTATTTGCTTTTTTTGTGCTCATACATACAGGTGAAAGACGTAGTCTTAAAACGTAAAAAAACAGGCACTGTTTCATTTTTTTGACTTCTTTCTGTATGTTTAAGACTCAACATCACGCCGATCCACATCCGTCCCTGTAATGTCTGTGATAGCGCTTCATTCTGATGCATGTAATCTGTGCTGAAGGGAGTTTTGCATGTTAATTGGTTGAGATATTCCCGAATGAAATCAATGGATTCTTCAAAGAGCTCCCGGTAGAGCGTCTCCTGTCAGTCCACCGTCTAGTTCAATCACAACTTGGCTTAAATACAAAACTGAGTTTGAGTTGAAAGTATGTCTGGATGTATTTCAGATGATTGATTTATGCAAAATGGAAGAAAAAAAAGGAAAAATGTGACAAAAAAGTAAATGTGAGAATTTTAAACATCTCAACTTAAATGATTTATAGATGCCTGTCAAAGAATGTCTGGTAAAACTTGTCTCCACCATGTTTGAGAGGTCAAAAAATGCCTAAAGCTATATGACAAATAAGTTAAATTATAATATATGTGTAGTGGCAGCTTACTTTACCGTCCTTCTTGCAGGACGTAAAGGGTTCTGACTCCTGCAGAGTACCATGTCCAACTCTTGCAGGCTAAACTGTTCTTGTTAGCTGTCCAATGATGAGGCTCGTAGTTTAAAGTAGTTTTATTCCGTGTAAACAAAAAATAGACAAAATCCTTATGCAATAAATGGAGTACCAAAGCACTGACCTTCTGCTGGCTGTAACTAAAAAGTCTATAATCTGCGGTCAGACAAAATATTTGCTCCACATCCTGCTCCATCAAAGCCTAACGAGCACTGAAAACCTACTTAAAGGAGCCAACCAACAACGATCCAATAGCAGGACAGAATAGAGGAGCCTTTATCTTAACAGGGCAAACATGTTCATCTGCAATGGTCATTCAGAATCCAGCCGGACACATTTATGAAAACCGTTTTCATTGCGTATCAAAAGTTCACTTCTGGAATCTGTAAATAGTTCAATCAGCAGAGGAGGAGCAGGCGACCATGAGGCGAATGTGAAACAATGCGTCCCTGCGTCTCCTCTTCATCCGAGCTCGTCCCCGGTGATCAGGGGAGACAAGGTGTGATGGCTGCCATGGCAACACTGCTGCCACTATATGGTGTGTGATGTGTCTGGTTGCTCTGGGCAACAGCGGCAGTCATGTTTGGCAAAGGGGAGGCGGTAAATTAGTGAAGCTCGCAGATAAACAGTTCAAAGTCTCTCTACAGCTCAGAAGCAGACCTGTCAGAGAAAATGATGAACTTTTGGTATTTATGGGAAACCTGACGCGCTTTGGTTCAGCTTCACATTCTCACAGCTGCAGATTTTCACAGCCGTCAATGTCAGCTGTGGTTTAAACCTTTGAAGAGATTTACCATCCACCTTCCTGGGATCTGAACGAGCACGAAAATTTATTTTTTAAACTTGCTATCAATGTCATAAAGTATTGAAATGTGTTATTCTGATTTCTCATTAAATTTCATTTTGGGAAATGGTTCCAAAGCAATTAGCACAACACTTTTTAATCTTTACAAGAACTTTAGTTTAGTTGTACTTATTGAACATAGTACTTTATACTGAAGTAGAATTACCGCCTTGTGGTTGTATGCCTCCGCCTAAATCTATCCTACCGCTTTGTTGTGTTTTGACGTATTTCGATGTCTCACCTTCTGATTTCTCATTAAATCCCAGTTTTATTTTGGAAAACGGTTCCAAAGCATTTATCCGCTGTATATCACTGTATTTTAGGCTTTTAGAGAAAGCTTTATTAGTTTTTCCTTTCAAACATACTTTGTGTGCCCACTGGAATGCCCGCCTCAGGGTTGTACGCCTCCGCCAACCAGTCAAGTTGCAGATTACATCCATTCCCATCACTTCATCATTTTATTTGTGTAAAACCGTCATAGTTAGAACTTTGACCGCCAAATTCGTATCAATTAATATTTGAGTCGAGAATGAAGTTTGGTCCTCCAGGCGCTCCTGAGATATCGAGTTCAGACGAACTGACAGACGAACAGATTACCCCTAAAAAATAAAATGCGCTGCAGCCGGTGCAGCTGATGCGTCAGCTGATGCTGAGAATAAAAATTCCACACGACCTTGAGTTTGCTCTGCAGATCGACTTCACACAGAGATATGAGTGTTATATGCACAGTACAAGTGTGGACACACTTCGACACAGAGTGCTGTTGCTACAAGCGCTGTGAAGATTGAGCAGGTGCTTTAGTAACAATGGAGAAAGACATAATGAAAGAAAAGACAGCTTTTCCTGTCTCTCACTGTACGTCATGTGTTCATAAATATGGTGTTTTTTGTAGATGATGATCTGCATTACTGCATTAAAAGTTGCCTTTGTCTGTTAAATTTATTTAAATGAAAATGGGTTTAACTTTTCTTTGAAGTTTTTTGGGGGAGCGAACAGAGAATGTTGAATGCTGTACACAGTAAAACCCTCTAAGGCACATTTGTGATTTTGGGCCGTACAAATAAATTGGTAAACAGAGAGAGACAAGAGACTAAAAGGACAGTGTAAAGAAAAATGCAGCACATTTTTGCAAACCTTCTGTCATCTAAAATATATTTAATCTAGTTCAAATGAATAGATGTCCCCTATGGAGTATTCAGGTCACTATTCACATGTTTTTTTTCACTGGACGTACCGTTGATAGTGATCTTGGCCGACCACTTGGAGGTGCCGTCCAGGACGCTCTGCTTGATGGTCTTCATGTGCTGACCGTGGACCATCTTGGTGATGTTGAACACCTTCCGGATCTCCTCGAAGATCTCCGGCTTGTTCCTCTCGCGGATCTTCATCCTGTCCTTCATGGCCATGATGATGTGCTGCGTCCGGTCCTCCGCCCCGGTCTTGGAGCTCTTCTCGGCCGCTCCTGAAGGCGACAAGGTGGGAGGAAGCAGAGGAGAAGGGTGGATGATGAGTTCCTAGAAACAATATCTTTCACTTATGCTAAATGATGGACCACGTGTGTTATTTTTCTTTTAGCTTTAACATTATGCTGTTTTCATGTTTTCTGGCATTATTCTCCAGTCCAAAATCTTTTGGCAGAAATGTAATATCATATTCATAACTATGTTTTCATCAGTGTATAATCACCCATGTTGCAATGCCATTTTTTCTACAGAAGCCCAGAGCGTACAAACCAAACACTGGCTCTTTAGAGAGACCTTCACGTTTTTATGTTATCTGAGGGCCACCGTAGATCTCCAACACGCTTGTAAAACTAAGGTGAAGTGAGCCGCAGAATGCAAAACCGTGGTACCGCCAGCCTCCGCCGTTGTAAAGTAGTGTTATTACGGTAAAGATGGCCTCCGAGTGAGGCGAGCGGCGTTACTATTGTTTTACACTCTTCGGCTCACGTTACTGCCCTCTTGGAAAGGGAGGAGGGAGCGGAGATCTGTTCAGTTGGTTGCAATCTGCAACCACAGCACTAGATGCCACCACATCCTACACACTGTCCCTTTAAGTGTCAGAAGCTATGACATCAGAGCAGCCACTAAAAAGCATTACATTCAAAGTGATTAGGGAGGTAAGTTTTTCAGCAGACTTCTCAGTTAATAATAAAATATTCTTTGGGTCGGGGTAAATCTGTATACGGTACAGAATATGGGACATTTGAGCTCTCCTTCTTATGCGTTTAAATTTCCAAGTAGTTTAGTAACTTCACTCACTCTGCAGGCAGTCGGCGTTCAGCAGCTCTTGGCATTTCTCGTGCACTTTGACGCCGCACTCCGCACAGCGCATACCCTGCCGGGCGATGCCCCACAGCAGACCCTCACACTCGTAGCAGTAGGTGGGCGTAGTGGCGGTCCAGACCTCGAAATTGTGCGGCGTGGTGCAGGAGATGGGGTAGATCAGAGACTGCAGGGTCTTCTTGAACACATGGTTTTTCTGTTGGATAGAAGAGATAAAAAAAGAAAGATGGATGGATGTAGGAGACGTGGGACAAAGGTGGAGGGTGTAAGAAAAGAAGCAGGATAAGAGAAAAGGGATAAAAGTTATCCAAGAGAAAAAACAACAACAGGGCAGAGAGTGATAAAGGAAAGTGTGGGGAAAAAGATGAGAGTGGTTACAAGAACACAACAAGACAAGATAGAGGACAACAGAGTGAATGACACAAGACGGCAGGAGAGGTAGCACAAGAGATCGGGGAGCAAAAGCAAGAATGAGAACTGATTATATCAGCTCCGATAATTGTCTTTCTTCACATGCTGATCAGGTGTAGCTTTCAAGAAAAAAGTGTCTTCAGCGTTAACGCAGGATACAAACAGACGATTTCAAGGTGGCTGGTGATAACATGATATTCAAATGTGGAACTGTGCTAAATTGTGTTTCTATAATTCTTGGCCTCTTTATTGGTAAACTGTTGTCCAGTGTAGGAGGAGAGTGGGAGGAGGTGAACACATCTCCACAGGACGAGAGGACACCTTGACTAGAAGCCCGGCTTGATTTGGTGAAAACAGAATTTGTATTGTGGGGTTATTATTAATGCTTATGAGTATTTTTCTTATTGTAATAGTAGAGATTGCAATAGAGTGGTATCAATCGCTTTCAATAAGAGAAACAACTTGTTCTATTGTGCGTTTCATTGCTCTCATCTCTGCCTCTGGTTTTACTCAATCTTCTTCTGACTGCTTTGACTTTTATTGATCTGACCTGTGTTGTTTCAATTGTTTGGGCCTTCTGACTTTATTGGTCTGTCTTGTTCTTTTACCTCTCATTTACTTCTTTATCCCTGTGAAGCATGCTGTAGCTTTAAAAAACAAAAATCCTTTATAGATAATGAGATTTCCACTTTGGCTACATTGTTATTTCCAGCGTTATTATGACATACAGTATGGAAAATTATGGCTGAATGGATGACTTTCATTTTTGGCACCGTTCTTGCACACATTTTTCACAGGTTGTCAACTTGAATGTTGGACATTTCTGTATATATACTATGCTACTTCCATCTGTCAGCATAATCTAATTATGGAACAGTTAACATTGTGCATACAGTATGGACGTCTGAATATTTCCCTTATTCTGTGTGTGCAACACCCATCAGTATATCTGGTAAAGTCCGTAATTCATGAGGCACATGTGCCGGTTCTTGATATATTTCTGCACACGTTTGTGTCTGTTTTTACTTTTGTAGTATAAGTAAATCATATAATCTGATGTGTGAGATTTCTCACAGATTTGCTAGCCGATTCTTTGATGCATCACAAATCTGTTTCCAGTCGTAGTCCACGAAAGTCCACATAGGGAGGAGGTCGTAGTGGATGATCGGGTCCATCAAACACAGGACTTTCACCCAGGAGACCGCTGCTCATCTCCCGTGTCAAATCAAGAGTCAATGTTGACTTATTTTAATTTATGTCCGTAACTTAAAAAACATAACAAACCTTCTTATTTTACGCCAAACCATGATGTCGTTCTCAACCTAACTAAGTTTTGTTGCGTTGTTGTTTTGTTTAGTTTATTTTCATAATGTTAACCACGTGTTTAAAACTGCGACCATAATCTCTGAGATAATACACTTTCCTCAAAACATAATTGAGAATTCAGCTTACTGGTGTTGTTTGGGACGTCATTTTGTAGGAGACAGCTACAAACAAAAACTAAACATCTTAGTATTTATTATTATTATTATCTTTTACATTACTTTGAGCTCACTCCATCTGTACTCTATGTGTGATAATGTGTAAACATAGCAATGCCCACTTTCAATTCCCTCTGCAAGCATCTTGTTTGACCTGCATTTGATCTATAAACTACAACTTCAGGACTCTTTTTAAACAGAAACTAATGTTTGGTTATTGTCAGGATTCCTTTACTTTGTAATTACACTGTATCAATTACACCGTTTTCAATCTGGCAGTTGCTTTGTTCTCCACTGCTGTATTCAGTGACCTACTTTAAACACTTGAATAATTCATGTTACACCTAATGTAATGTAATCACCATCATGACTTGACACAGTACAGTAGGAAAGGTAAAAAAAATAGAAATAATAATAATAAACAAACATGAAACCTCATCCAGTCAAAGAAGCCTTGCTTCACCCTCAAGTTGACTCAGCAAAATTCAGAGCCTACAGCATATTGGATCTTCAACAAACAGATCAACAATACGGCTCCAGCATAATGACAGCAGGAGAACAGTTGGTGAGAAAAGTGTGTGTGCAAATATAAGTTACAGTTTGTGTGGATCCCCATTAGCTGGCATCGAGGTGACAGCAAGGTAACTGAAAAACCATAACTACAGTATATATATAAGTGTGTGTGTGTGTGTGTGTGTGTGTGTGTGTGTGTGTGTGTGTGACATGTATTTGGCCACTCACAAGCTCTTCGTCTTTCAGCGAGGTCCGTGTGGCCAGTGTGTGGGCGAGTCCAGCTTTCCTGGACTGTATCATAGACTGAAACCAAGACAGAAAACATCGGTGATAAACAGCCACAGAGAAGGAAAGAAACCCAAACAAACAAGGTCAAGATAAAAGGAAAAGGCAAATCAAACTTTCAGCTAAAAAAGTTTCAAGAAATCAATTGTCTTTGTGATGTTGGTCTCTTTCGACTTTGAAGGTCGAGGAAAACTTGCAAAAAACCCCTCACACATTTGTTCTCCTTCTCTGTTTGAACATCACATGTCTCTCCTTTATTCCCTCCTCGAGGACAAACACCAACACGTTTGTATTTCTACGTTTGTGAGGAGCTTCACTGACTGTGTCTGATGTTATAATCACGTTTCTCTGGCCCTAAGACTTAGCCGTCTCATAAACACTTTAAAGGTGCTAAATCCAGACATTCAGAGCATTAATAAAGCAAAAAACTAATATTTTCCATGTAAAGATAATGTTAACTGTAAAACCGATAATTTGCTTTTTTATGGAAGGTTATGGGTCAAACATATGTGGATTATATTACCTATATAGTCAGAGCCAGGCTAGCTGTTCCCCCCCCTTGTGCTAAACTAAGCTAATCTCCTGCTAGTTGTGGCCCTATAGCTAATGGACGAAGTGGTATCAGTCTACTCATCTACCTCTCCACTAGAAAGTGAAAAGGTGTATTTGCTTCTTTAAAGTGACAGGTCGCCCTAAAATCAAAAACACATATTATTCCTCTCGCCTGTATTGTTATTTATCAATCCAAATTGTTTTATTGTGAGTTGCCTAGTTTTGTAGGTATCGGCCGTGGAGGTGTCTGCCTTCTCTTTAACAGAATAAAACTGGACGGCACTCCGCTTGTGCTGCTCAAAGCGCCAAAAAGAAAAAATTCAACTGTTGTGAGCAGTACCAATTAGAAACCAGGTTCTTTATACCGAACTACACCGACATACCGTATCGCCACGCAGAAGGAAGCACACATTTGTGTTGCTCGTTAGAAGAAAAATAGTTCCGACAAAAAACTGCTGTTACGTCTTTCAAATGTATTTTTTTGGAGAGACATCTCGACCGCCGATATTTCCAAAACTGAGCAACTCGCACCAAAACAATCTAAATTGATCAATAGCACTGCAGGTAAGAGGACCAATGTGTGTCACTTTAAGAAGAGACAACACATCCTTTGTTGACAGATTCCTGTAATATGCTGTTTTGCGCTTTAACAATATGTTGCCTTAAACTGTGTTTTGTGTCATTTCTGTGGATCTGTGTATGTGAAGAGAAATGTGGCAACGCTTCAGCAGGAAGGTTTGGACAGGTTTTGGACAGCCTTTCATCATCTCCCGCATAAACAAGATCCTCCAGTTCAAATGCATCACTCAATCCTAGAGCATCCTTCCATCCAGCACTTTAATTCAGAGCTGTGATACACCTGAGAAATGCCCTTAAAATAGAAGCTCAGCTCTTATTATTTAACCGAAAGAGGCTCTGCTCACAGCATCTCACAGACGCATGCAGTCAGTCATCATTACCTTTAACTGATAACTGATCGAGCTGCTCTGTGATTCATCAGCTCGAGACATATCTCTTCACTTTAAGATATCAAGGTATGTTAATGAAGTAGAATGAGTTGATGGTGTTTAAAGTTTAGCTCAAGACATACACAACTCTGAAAACACAAAGGATAGCACAGTGAGGTCGAAGTGTTGAACTCAGTAGTTGCACTCAATGCTGGTGGGTGAAATGAAGGAGCTGTGGCTTTATTGAATGACATCTGGATCCCGATCCTGCAGAATGGCACAATAAATCCCTTACCCTAACCCTTACCCTTACCCGAAACCTAACCTTTGCATTAGGCCAAAGCGGCTTGTGGAATTGTGGAAAGAAAAAAACGTCTGTTTTACAACTTCAAGCACATATTTTATCACAGCTACATTGTCAAACGAAACTAGTGAATCTCTTCTTGACACATCCATAGTTATATAACATGGGACTGCTGAGTCATGACAAATCATTATTTCTCATTAAATAGGCCCATTTATTGTGGGCCGTTATGGTTTTATCTCTAAATTATCTTTATCTCATCTGCACAGTTTGTTCGTCCTTCTCCTGTCTGTTTTTATTTCTCTTCATAATTTGTGTAAAATCATATACTCAACCTAACAAAATTTAACTAGATTGCCCGGGAGCCTTGAACTCTCTTCAAAACCTTAAATCTTCTGCTGTTGAAAGAGTGACCTTCCCTCCGGAGGACCCACGTCTAATCAACGGAGAAAAGTCTCTTTAATCAGACGAGTCAGCTTTCTTAGATCTCTGCGACTGAACGTTCCAGCTTTATCCTCTCAGGCCGCAGTCAGTGGACGCACGTCTCAGCCTCCCTTAAGTACTTCAAAGTTAACGTGAGACGATTTACCGTGACATTTATCAGCATTTGCTTGTTTGGGGAGGCAGGTGTGTTGTGTTACAAAGTGGAGCTCTTGACTTGCTGAATACCAGCAAGACAAACCTGTTAATTAAAGGACCTGTAGCTAAAACACCAATCAGAGAAAAAAGCGAGCATCAATCTTCTGAGGGAAAGCATTCAGCAAAAAAGGAATTGATTTTTCTTGTGTTTGTCAGTTTGTGTTTGTGTTGAAATAAAGGTAAACAATGACTGATACGTGTACGAGCGAGCGTACACGTGTGCACGCTCGTACCGACGCATGTAAGACATCTTCACACGCAGCAGATCGAAATGCTTTGCTACAATCAGGAGCATTAGAGAGTTTCTAAAGGAGCCCATCAAAACAAACGGTAAAACCCAGCAGCCGAACTCTCACTTCTCTTTTACTCACCATAGCCTGAGGGCCGACGAAGGGAGGGAGGCAACATGTGCAAGGAGAGAGAACAAGCAGAAAGACAAAGGTGAGAGACAAACAAACAGTTTCCCCTCGGAGAGGATCAGCAGCGTTCACCTTGAATCCAGCTATTCAGTGCTGGCAAACTAATTATTACCCAGAGGGTGCCACTGCAGAAGTGCCCTTTTGCACATTTATCCTGTATGTGGCCTGCAAGTAGTCATTCCTGAAGGATCAAATTAGCTGATTGTAACGTGACAAACTGTGGTGTCGCTCAGCCAGCTTGTTAACATGACTTTCCTCAGCTAATTCCAATGCCGAAGCAAAAGTTAACAGGCAATTAGAGTGGTCACAAATAAGCAAAGGTGACTGAGCATCTATCTGGTGCACAGCAGTTGCAGAGAGAAACACAAACTAACCAGCATGTGTGTTGTTAATAGTAAATTAATAAATGAAAAAATGATAAATAAAATCACGTTAAGATAGATGAAAGCTATGATTGGTTTGATAATTGATCATTGGCGTGTTCACTTTCTCTCTTACTCTTTGTAGGTGGTGGAAAAAAAAGAAATTGTAAATAACATTTGACATTTTTATTTTTATGATCGGCAGCTTAATGTGATGATAAACATCTCCGGGGGAAATATTCAACGAGAGGTGGACATTGAGGCTCTTTGAGAATAAATAACCAGGGGTTCATTATTCAGGAGTAATGGACCTCATGCAACAACATTTCTATATTCTTCTCTTAACTTTCTCAAATTTTGCAGTTTGAGATGTTCATATTGATATTGTACAATAGCATCATGTCGAACATTCAGAATTATATGAGGCTATAATTTGAATTGCAGGGTCTGAAGAGTTATGAAGTGTAATTATTATTATTAAATGCTTTAAAGTAACAAAATATACAATCCATTAGTGAAAAATGTAGGCTTGGATAACTGCAGACCAATTGCACAGTAATTGACCAGAATAAGAGAATATTCAAAATACGAGAAAATTGGTGAATGCGGCAAGTTCTCCTAAATCTTATGTACAAGCCACTTATGAACGAATCTTTTCATACAAGACAGCAACCTCCGGTTCTAATAAGTGAAGCCGATGCTGAAGTGCCTTAAACCTGCATTCTCTCTACTGGCCATCAGGGAGCGACTGCATAGAAGTCTATGAGAAAATAACCCTAACTTGATTTATTACCTCAGTAAACATTGACTTGTGAACCTGACAGGTGCAGCGTGACAAACCTGGTATTCCTCAGCAGCAGAGTATGGAGACCATCTCCACCCACAGTGACTAGTCGGTCATGTTTACCACCAATATACACCACCACATGATATGAATAGAAAAAATACTTTGCAGTTTTCTTGTTCTTAGATTTTTAGTATGCAAGTATGCAACATACACAAGACTTCCTTGACTGTGTCAGTAATAAGTGACAACATTTATTTGAGTTATGCTCAAATATTAAACATCTCATGTTTGAAAGACTTCATTGTGTATGTTGTTTATTCTGTATACCAGTGACTCCATCTTCATAGATAAATGTACAAATCCGTCAGATAAAACTTTTAAATATAATCTTAAAATTATGTGTTGATATGATATAACACATACCCTCGATAAAGGGTTTTATAGTTTCTATATAGGAGGACGTTTAGTTTAGGGTTTATTTGATAACATACTTGCTTTTGTCCTTATTTACTCTTTTATTTTCTCCACGTTTACCCAGTTGATCAATTTAACCTGTAAGAAATATCCTGCGTCTGATCATGTTTGGTTTAGGGCGACAGATATTGAGTGATGTCTACTCACCAATTCACTGACAAGAGGAATGGGTCTCCTCTTGCGGAGGTCTGGCATGCTGTCAATGCCAAACGGTGTGTTTCCCCTGTGTACGCACACACACACACACACACACACACACACACACACACACACACACACAAACAAATACCAAAATGCAATGATTAATATTTAAATAAAGAAAATCAAGGTGCAAACACTGCATCAGGTAATCACAGTCGCTCGTTCACACACGCGCACATACAGTTCACACCAAAAAGCCTCTACTGACCCTGGCTTGGCCCATGGCTGCTTGCTGGGGTCACCATCTTGATCTCGGATCTGAAATAGAATGTCAAAGGTCACGGATTTTTCCATTTGAAGGTTTTATGACGGGCTTTATTGGTTTCATGACACTGTAGCATGCACAAGCACAAGAGAAACAAGAACAAAAAAATAACAGAAGAGAAGGGACTGAACTGGGTTGGTTGAGTCTCAGCATGGCATGCCAAAGAGGGCATTTCGATCAATCATATTGCCCCCATACATATATGAGCATCATAAATCTGGTTTCACCTTGTAAAGAAAACACCCACCAAACACGCTCCCAGTAAACGCACATCGAATATTGAATTTTGCTTCCTGACAGCGTGTTTTTTTTGTCTGACAGCTAGTAAAGAAAATGTGACAGTAACAAAACATGCTGATATGTCACCCTGACAGACTCCACACCAATATTATTTTTCATTAATATTGTGTCATAATTAATACTGACCTATTCCTGAATAGCATTTTTTTTTTTAAATTTATGACAGGAACAACAAATGTTCTTAATAGGACTCGGATGCTTTGAGGCTGACATCTCGTAAAACCTAAAGCTTTTTCATTAGCTTTAAATTGAAACACAGTATTTTCAGGATTAAGCGAGCACTTTTCAGAAACTGACAACAATCATTACACAAAAAATAATTAGAGAGAGACACTGACATGAGAAAATGCCAAAAGGATATTAAGAAATTGTACAGGAAGAACAACTTCCTTTAAGATGTCATGTTAATACTTATAACGAGAGAGAAACCACAAAAGAGGTAACCTGATCTCCTTCTTGACTTCCATCTGTAAAATAGCATAAGAGAAAAAAGGAAACAGACAGAAAAGAAAAACAGTCACGGACTAGTTTGACTCATCATGGACAATAACAAGACACACCCTGTGATATTCATTTTGTTGTAAACGTTGAAAGCAGCAGCGCCACTGAGTTTTCAGATAGAAGCAGGTCTGAGGTCATAAATGTTTCATTAACATGTATAATTTATCATGAAAATAACTCTTAATATTTCCCTTCTCCTTTGTCCTTAGTGTCAGGCTTGCTTTCCAAGGAGATAATTGATGGTTTCTAATTCAGCAAATGGCTACTGCTGGAGCCTCGGAGAGGAGTAAGGGACTCGTGAGTGGCAAGTGATACAGTACATTACTCTCACGGGGGGTAGAAAACGATAGTACCAGCAGAGACCGTTTGGTGCAGACAATACCTAAGGGACCTTTCAGTGCGGGGGTTTATTCATAACCGCTGGGTGAACTTACCCAAAGAGGATACTGACGGTTATCCTTTTATCAATGTACACACAGATCAGAGAGCGACAGATTAAAGAGTTCCGCAACAGTGAGCGGCTCTGATAACAAAAAGGTGGAGTGGAAAAGGTTTTGAGGAAACAAGCCAATATTTCAAAATATAATGAGTCGCTCGCACAAATTGAAATATCAAAAATAACAAAAAGCAATCGATTGAATGAGTCCTTAGTTAGCCAATCAGAGCCACGGTCGGGACAAACGCTGTTGTCAAGCTGTTACGGTATATCTTTTCAATATCGCCCGACATTGTATGATTTCATTTGATTTCAAACCGCTCCACTCTTAAAACCCCGGCAACTCAGTGTTGACTTCGACTTAAATTAAAGCATATACGTTGGTCTCTAGTGATTGTTTAAAGAAAATTGAATCCCCCTCCCTCACAGGATTCGGTTAGTGCAGAGGCAATGTCAGACTGAAGATAGAAACAAGTGTCACGAGCTGACAATTCTTTCTGATATTTGGTAAGTTGAAAGCATGAAATGTCGGAATAACAAAAACAAAGAAACATGTAATGTAATTGTGTCTAATAGATGACTCATTTACTAAAATAAAAAAGACAAAATGGACGGGATTAAAACACAAGATCATTCCAACTTAAAGTCGAACAGTGACTACCTGGTTCAAAGTCATCCTGAGAGAAGGTGGACATTGTCATACTGGTGAGGTTGCGTCGGGACTCCCTCTTCTCCCGCAGAATCTGCTGGAAGGTCCTCAGGCACTTTAGCCTACGTTCATCCATCCGGCTTATCTCCAAGGGTGGCTCTGCTGCATCTCCTTCCACTTTGCCTTCTGGGGCCACAGTGTCTGTGGCGAAGTGCTGTGGCAGAGGCACCTCCGTTTCTCCCTGCTCCTCCAGCGCTGCAGGTTCATCAACCGAAAGGGAGACTGAGAGGGATTCTGTAGTGGTGCATTGCGAAAGCTGGGCTTTAATGGTCCGATCTGGAGGACCATTTGCAGGACCTTCTGCAGGTTGTTCTGTAAGGCCATAAGGTGGAGGCAGTATTGAAGTGCTACTGGAAATTGGGTCGAGGCAGACTGAACGTTCTTCTGGGAATGGGGGTATCTTGTCCGAACTAGGAGGGTGTTGGCAGGTGTCTGTAGACTCCAATGTAAGGCTGTTGTTGGCTTCTTCATGCTTAGGCTCCACAGAAAAAAGATCGGATTTGTCAAGAGTATTGTGTCTGCATAATTCTCGAACAGCACTATCACTATCACCCACATTACCTTTCCGGAATTGGTCACATGTTTGTTGAAATTGTGCCTCATAGCATTGAGGTTTTGAAGGCAAATCAGCTGTATGTAGGTCAGACGGCATTGATATTTCAAAGTCTGCTTCCTCTCCAGGATTCTGGGCTCCAGGTACTTCAATTTTGCGCAATGCACCGCGCAAGGCAGAGCTAAAATCAAGTACAGCTCGGCCTATTCGCTTGACATTGAAACCACCAGTTTGGACATCTGCACTGACAGAGCGAGGGAGTCGATTTTCTAAGGTTTGGTTGGTGGCTCCAGGCTGTTGGATGAATGGCCTATCAGCTACAGTGGTACATAAGGATTCCTCAGTCCATGTGGCTGCTGAAGACTCTTCATAGGCTAAATACGTTTCCTGATAACTATCGACATGACAGTCTGTATTGTAGCTCAGGTCATTTGACTGCCCATAGTCAAATTCCTCCGCTTCTCCATCATGTCCATCAATTGAATGGTAACCAGAACTTTGAGGGTAGGACATATCAGCAGAACATTCATATGCCACAGTGGGCTTTTCAAGGTTGGTATCTATTGGAATATTGATCCCAGACTGGGTTTGAGGCCTTCTTCTACGTGACTGCCACTCCTCCCTGCTAGAAGTGCTGGCAGGTGAGTTGTAATGTTTCCCAGAGCGAAGAGAGAGATGTTCTGAGCTTCCTGTGGAGCACTGCCCTGAAGTACCATAACCTCCTGCACCTCTGTAGTGATCCCAGCTACCAGCTCCTTCACCATAGAGACGACTCTCACTTTCATGCTCCTCCAGACTTCTGGCCCTGCGGTAAGCAGTTTCCCTATGCCACGCAGATTCCCCAGAGGCACTGTGTGGTGGTCCAGTGTTAGTCCAATGTTCCTCTCGATCATCAGCTCTTTGCTTCTTCCTTCCATGACTAGATGATGGTCCCTCTAGGTCTGACTCACTATGACCAGAAGACAAGGAGCTGGTGCTTGGATAGTCATGGCCATCCGGCCTTTCAAAGTAGCTAAAGCTGAGCTTTCCTGCTATCGCACCTACAGGGATATCCGAACTATGGTCAGAGGTATCCTCTGGTTCCTCCAGTTCCTGATGATCCACTAATTCAGCAATTGGGGACACAGTAGAGTCTTCTGCCCCTGATAGCAGTAAATCTCCATGGATGCTATGACGCTCATTGCAGACTTGAGGGAAAAGATTTGAAGAAGACTTTGGCATTGCACTCCCTAAACTGCCATAAGCACTAGCGGGCCTTCTGCGGGAGGATGATCCATCTTTGTACCCTACCCCCGACCAGGTGCCTGTGTGAACCCCTGAACCCGCCTTGTTGCTAGAACGAATACCCTCAATCTCCAACAGTACAGCGTCAACACAAGATGACACTTCCTCAACTGACCCTCGAACTGAGGTCAGATAATCCCTAAGGTCTGAGATTTCCTCCTGTATCTTGTTGATCCCCCTCAGCTCTTTAAGAATGTGGTCGATGATAGCACTTGACTCCTCCTCTTTTTCTTCGTCCTCTAGCAGCGTACCTGGCAGAGCTCTGTTGAAGTTGTAGTCCACACAGTCACCAGTAGAAAAGGGTCTCTTTGGCCGAATACGGGGTGAAGCAAAATCCCCCCCAGCTGCTCCTGCAAATTTAGTACCATTCATGTCTGGGCCTATTGGACTGTAGTGCGGGGGTGGTTGCATCTGCTCAGGAGCTGCCTGAATGTCCCCTTCAAAGGAGATTCGTTTTATATTGGCTGGGGATCTGCAGCTTTTGTGCTGCAAAGTGCATGGTAGTCTTATACATCCCTCTCTGTTCAGCTCTACCTCTCCAACACATGGCGGCCCCGGTGCTACACTATGTCCTTTACCGTTTGACACCTTTGGAGAATAGGCTTCAGCCCTGGAGCTAACCTTTGGATATCTGCTTCTGTGCTCCTTTCTGTCCTCCTGTGTTTCCCCCTCTTCCTCATCTTCAATACCTCCATAATAGAGGTCGGAATCTGGGACATGGTGATCTGCAGACCCTTGCAAGAGGCGATGTATTTTACCACGAATGACCAGTGCTACCCTGGGGTTTGGAGCTCTCTTCTTGGGTGAATGGACTTTTGCCTTTGTGCCTCCTTTAGGGGCAACACCTGCTCCATGTTGACCATTGAAGCGATTCCTGGAGAACATATTCTCAAGAGAGCAGACTGTCCTCATCTAGTTTCCCACATTGTCGGTGGGTCTTACAATCAAAATCCTCACTGTATCATAGTTTATTAATTAAGCCTTTCGGAAGCTTATTCAGCCGAACCACTCAGTGGTCAGTGGTCCGTGACTAAAATGGGAAGACAAAGATAAAATACTTGTAAACACATCAAACACAGTAACATAGAAGTCAATTGAAAAGTGCGGAAACGAAGAAGACATTTGAGGAATTATATATACTTTTTTATGAATATATACCTCTTTGCCTTGATGGAAGACACCGTAATGTCCTGCTCAAATCGAATATGTCAACTTTCAATTCAAAAGCATGGACACAGATGGGCCATTTTTTTGTACTGCCTGATACAGTAACCCCTTTGTTAATCTCTTTTAATCACTACAACCGGACATCATCCAGTTTCTGTTGACCACAGTGGGTTGTCAACACGCTCTTGAATATTCTTTCTGTATTTTCTTTCACACACACACACAAACACACTCACACACACACACACACACACACACACACACACACACACACACACAGACAAAAGTCAGCAACATTTGGTCAAGTCAGAATTCAAACAGGTAGTGTCTTACACCAGAATTTCATAAACTAAATGCTGACGTACATTAACATCTATAATCACATGCCAAAAACAATCTCAATCTGTGGTGACAAAATAATTTACAGAGGACGAATGAACATCACATGTCTTGTGGGTTTGTACAGAGACAGAGTTTGAGATATTACTCTAATACAATAGGTTTAATTATATTTGTTGATGGGCTGATTGATAAGTTTCACACTATTTGAATCAGATGTGATGGCGTAAACAGTTTTGCTGTGATTGAACAAAGTCAGAGCCAAAATCACACTGGGTAGAGAAAATAGTAGCAGTACATGACTGGCCACTCTCACATCGGACATAAATAATAATAAACATTACTTTTAATGAAAAGCACTCCGAGCACATGCTAGTCTTTGCCTTTGCTCTTGATGAACGTTACTGTGTAGGGAAGCTAAATTAGTGTCAGGTAATTACATGAGGTGATATTAATTGGGAAAAAATAATGACTTATGCTAGAGGCTTTGAACACATGTTGTACACATCATTTTAACACAGAAAATGATGGTTAACAAGTATTTCATTTATGAAACAGGAACAATATGAATGGGTGCACAGCGAGATAAGTGACCTGCACAGTACAAAACTTAAACTGGGATTATGGGGGAATATGTGAGGACAGACATGGGAAATCTTTATCTCAATAAAAACAGCAGAGGCCGACTGACAGAGATCCTTTGCTTGGTCTTTGCTGAGCTTTCAGACAGCTAGACCAAATCTCAGTGCATTGCAAAACCCCAGTGCTTTATAAGAAGAAAGTCAGTTATTCTTACATATATATTTCAAAAATCTGGGAAACATTAAGGTACATGTTGTCTTGTGTAGCTGTGCAGGACTGATGCAAAACAAATCATGACAACTTTAACAGCTACAATGTTCTATTGTTTGCCAAACCTTCCCACATAAAAGGTAAGTCCAACATGAGAAATGCCTCACATCACCCTCTCCTCTCTAATTCACATTCCTTTACCTCGATCTCGTTTTCATTGCTTGTAAAAATGCTTTTCTTTCTTTTCTTGGCTCATATTGTCTTTAAATTCATCATTCAGGCACTTCTGTTTTATGTAATCTTTCTGTGGTCACAGAGGAACTGTAACTCTTTTTTTTTTATATTGGTTGTTTATAATGTTGATTCCCAGCACACCTACTTTACATACGTCAGGAGCCTGAACTAAATGTCTTAAATCCAAATGTAATGTTTATTATCAGTCACTTGAAACCGGTAGCGATCTTACATAATGTCTCCTGATGTGTTACAAAACAAGGCTTTTTATACTTTTTTAATGTCACGGGCAAAGTGGACATATGTTAGACCACAGCCAACATTTTGTCTCACGTATAATTTAATATTTAATGCTATATTACTTAGAGTAGACCTATATTATTCTATATTTTTGGCTGTTGAAGCTTTATTATAGTCGAGCTAGGATATACCAGAACAGTCTTTCTTTTCTCCTCCTGCCACTGTACTACGTTCTAGTAAAGGAAATAATGACTAAGATTAAGAATTATTAAATTAATTTAAGGAGATTAAAGAAGATTTTGGGAGCTGTACTGTAGATACTCAGTGGTAGGAAAGCTAGTGAAGGAGGGGTTGTGAATGAGGAAGAAGCGTAGAAAAATGTCAAACTTGAGTCAATTCCACCCTGAGGGCGAAACAGCGACCACTTTGAGGCAGATATGTTTGGAGTCACTGCAATGATTAATTATTTATACTAAAATACAGGAGCTGCAGACGAGCACACACAAGGTTGTCGCTTACAATTCAATTACAATGAAAAGCCCTAAAAAAAAGCATTTTTCTTAATCGTCTTCTTACACAGCGGCATGAGCAAACTATTATCTGCCAAAGATAACAAGTTGGCGCACTTCCAAGACTTGGATTGGCATGAAACTCTCCGGGTTGAAACATCAGTACAGAAGATGAGCAACTGCGTTAGAAAAAAAAGTCAAAGGTACAAGCCTGCAGACGAAATTCTAAGAAGGAAAATTTCTGTAAGAGACACTCGTTCACTGAGCTTAGAATTGTGAGACATGACCCACTAATTCATAAAGATGACCATTCATCACTTTAAATCTGGTCACTTTCAAATTCTGGCTTAATTGTGGAGGAATTTGGCAGCTGTATGTCGTTTTCCACCTGCAATGACAAAACATTCAGAATGTGCTCTAACCGGATTCCTACGCCTTTCTAGTTTCTTCTGCATAGCAACAGCACTTGAGGCTCATGGGTACTGCAGTATTTCAACTGAAAACCAAACTGAACCGCTGTCGATCAAATCGGACCAAACAACACCCACAAGGTCCTGATGATAACGGAGTTATGAGGAGGGAAAAAAGATATATGTTCCAGTCAATCTGGAACCCTGACACGGCAATTCTGGACATCCCTCCACCCTCTGTCTGGACTTCTGTTTCACTCAAAAAGCATTTGACAAGCAATGGGAGCCTGACCTCCTTTGGGGTCATTCTGGGGTCTTCGAGTGACTCCGCTCTGAACTCTGGGAGCGATAAATAGATGATGTAACTGGTTTTGTGATTATGGATGTCTGATACCATGCCTTCCTTCTAGATGAGGCGAGATACTCCTCTGATGGAGGGTGAAGCTGTGGGATGATTGATCAGATGGTAATAGTGGTAGCTAAATACTCATTTGTCTTATACTTCTTTTTTGTTCTCTCTTGTTTTGTGCTCGTTTCATAAGATGAGTCTTGCTTTTTAATTACCTCGTCCTTTAATGTGTATAAAATTTGCCAAATTATTTGAATGGTGAAGGCAGGTTTATTGATATATATTTTCAACTAAACCTAATGTTGCTTATTTGGACACAAATAGTAAATGTCCTATAAATACTTGAGATGTATCTGACAAACTGTTCACATGCTGGTCTCTGAGGGTGATGTTGCATCAACTTTTTCTTAAGGCAGAAAATAACGGTGGTGCTTTTGCTTCCTGGCAGCGTGACCACCACCGCTTCACCCTGGTTGTTTGTTTTCTCTGGGAGTCTGGTGGAGAGCAGATGGCTGATGGCAGGTTAGGAAGCCCCATCATCCCCATCCAGCCCTGCTGATCAGTGAGCTGCAGAGAGGATGGGAGGAAGCTCTGGGCTGGTCCAAGGGTTTCTTCAGACTCCAAGACCTCGATAAATATGAGGATTGGTCTGTTTCTTTGTGCAGCACATTCACGCTCAAAGCTCTTAAAATGAAAACCTACAATTTACAAGACATGACAAGAGATACTGTAACTCCTTTATATCCCTTTTCTTCCTCTCTCTGTGTTTCCTGCTCCTCCTTCTCCTTCACATTATTCTTATTATTTATCTCTTCTTGTTGGCAACGCTCCCTGGCTTTCTTTCTCAGTCATTTCACATCGGACACGAAACTCATACTCGAGCCAAAAGGGGAGATTTTCTGAGTGTCTGCTTCAGTGCCAGCAAATGACAAGGATTACTTTGGAGATTTACCTCTCCCTCTCTGCTGAATAATGCTGCAGCATGCACTCGTGTCACAGCGGAAGTCAACTAGTTTCTACAATGACTCGTTAAAATAACCGTGGTTTACGGTCAATCACATGTGGTAAAACTATGTTATTATTATACTTTCCAGAAGGATCCAGATGGGGAGAAGACATCAGATCTGGTTGATTCTCTGCTTTGTTTCCTGCATGTGTCCGTACATGTAGTCACAAGCTGACACTAAATCCAATATGACATGAATGTGGTGTGAAACAGCACTTTTCTCACCCTTGAATATAAGTGTCTCCAGGCAAAGTATGGCTACCTTGCTGTGACTTCCAAGTGCATTCATAGTTTACGATTACATGCAGGTAGCAGTAAATTTGGGGTCCTATAAAAATGAAATGAGGAGAAGTTTGCAACGAGTCGTCCATTTGGCTTCCAAGACCGTTGGCCTTCTTCCTCCCTGTCTGTTAGCCTCAGTCCATGACATGAACAGAATATGAACTTGTCTGGCTGTGGGCCAGTTTCTCATATGAGGATGGAGCAGCGTTCATTTCTTTGGTCTAGATATTCTGTGTTTGGTTTAGTAAACATTGTCTACTCATAAAAACATATTACGTATTACGTCCTGTAGCTGATCTGGCTGCTAACAAACCACATCACAATGCTGCTACATACTAAACTGAACAGAATCACATTTCTTATCAACCTCCTGAAACGCCCCTCTAAAGGTTGTGTCTGAATCTCTCCACACATGCACAAGATTCAATAATTCATAACACGTTCAACAACAACACATATAATCATAGCACACGCAACTAAAACACAATTACAATACAGTAAGTGAACTGCTGCTTTTGTATATCTCACCTGCACTGCCACATTACAGTCAGCTTATTGTACAAGAGCCAGACAAGTGTTATCGTGAATTTGTATTCTGAATGATGGGCACTGCAATTGTTCTGCCAGGAATCTGACTGAGCTCATCAGTCCCGTCAAAGCCTTCTTAGTAAATGACTTTGGTCTTGACTGGTCCAAGGGCCT